CACTTAAAATCTATCTGTATAGCTAATAAATCTGTTTGTTTATTCTACTTGAAGCAGTGCATTTGGTTTGAAGTGTGTCAGAGACTCCCCTTGGGAGAACAAGCCTGGTACATATCAATTTCTTTGTTAAATTGATAAACTCATATAAGCTTGCAGCGTCCAGCGGGCATAAGTGGACACTGCAAGACGGAGGTAACTAGGGTTGTGTCTGGGACCGGAGATATTGGCTAGTGTCATATGGTTGCACAATCCAATCAGCTTACATACCAGAGGCTGCGCAAGAACAGCCTAGGAGTGGGGGCTCTCACAGCAGAGCAGGGTAAGGCTGGCTCCCAGAGTCAAGTATTGGAGAGGCCTAGCAGATCACTGGTCCAGATAACACCAGAGGGAAATGTCACACCCAGATAAAACATCCCCCTCCTCCCATTAAGGGTTAAATTTCCTTGGTGCTTGGGTCACAGAGGGAGGAGCTGCCAGCTGTAGCCCGAGGGAAGGAGTTCCTTTCCATGGCCTGTGAAATCTAGCGGTGAATGACATCTGGGTGGGAGCTGCAAGCTGTGCTGAGCAGGAGGTGGGCTATTATGACTGGGAGTGGATGGGTCATTACACAAACTTAAAACCATTTTCCCATGCTGAGGGATAGCTCAGTGGTTTGAGCATTGGCCTGCTAAACCAATGGTTGTGAGTTTAATCCTTGAGGGGGCCATTTAGGAATCTGGGGCAAAAATCTGTCTGGTGATTGGTCCTGCTTTGAGCAGGGGGGGTTGGACTAGATTACCTCCTGAGGTCCCTTCCAACCCTGATATTCTATTCTATGATAATTTTCCCGCCTACTGTTACTCACACCTTCTCATGAACTGTTTGAAATGTTCCTGATTACCACTACAAAAGTGATTTTTTCTTCCTGCTGATAATAGCCAACTTTAATTGAATTGTCTCGTTAGAATTGGTAAGGCAACCCCCCCTCTTTTCATGTACTCTGTATATATATATATCTTCCTACTCTATTTTCCACTCCATGCATCCGATGAAGTGGGTTTTAGCCCACAAAAGCTTATGCCCAAATACATTTGTTAGTCTCTAAGGTGCCAGAAGTACTCCTCGTTTTTTTTTCTGATACAGACTAACATGGCTACGACTCTGAAACCTTTTAACAGGGAGCAGCTCTCTAATGCCCTTTCCATCTGAGGCCCTGATCCAGAATTAAATCACTGCAGCTTTACCCTGTGAGCTTGTCATTGGAGCTGGGCACAAGTCTTCATTGAAAAATGTTTTGGTGAAAAATGCAGATTCAGAGACACCGAAACATTTCACAAATTCCTGTTAATTTCACCCAATTGTTCCAAATACACACAGAACAATTCATTTCATTTCAACACTTTCTAAAGAAAACATTTTGGTTTTTTTTAATTTGATATTATTTTTCCATTAGACATTTCCTTTAATTTTATCTATAATATTAAAACAAACAACAAATGTCCAAAAGAACATCAAATGGTTTTATTCAACATGAAACCTTTTTTTTTTAACTTTTGCTTTCGACAACATTTTCAAAAAAGTCATTTTTGGCTCAACCCAAAACTTTTATTTTATTTTATTATTATTATTATTATTATTATTATTATTATTATTTATTTATTTTTTACTATTGCCAGAGAACCAAAACATCTGTTTTTTTGTTGAGACATTGGGACGATAGGATGCTGGAAACAGATTGTCACTGCCAACTCTGGGTGCTTTCCACTTACTGTTCTCTTCATCTTTATCTCTAATGGTCTCCATAAGATTGCAAGAATGCGAGCTGTGAGGGTGTTGTCTTATATGTATGTGTTTTCATATAATTATGCTTGGATTTATTCGGATTTTAAATGAATTTAAATAGTCTTCCTATTTCTATTTGTCTGATTCACCAGTCTCACTTGATAATAATCTCAGGTAGCTCCCTGAATAAGGAACCTGTTATTAGTGACCTGTGCAATTTGCACCTTAAACTTATCAATGGCTCCACTTGTCAGGTAGTCAGTTTTTAGTCCATAACCATGATGATGCTATTTATTAATAAAACATGTAATGTCACTAGAAAGAGATATCAAGTTAATATGACAGGATCCGTTTTCCATAAACCCACTTTGATTCGCATTAATTGTATTGCACTAATTTAATTCTGTATTAAATGAGTCCCATATTAGAAGTTCTATTATTTTGCCTGGAATCAATGTCAATCTCACAGGCCTACAATTACCTAGGTCATGCTGTTCTCCCTTTTAAAATATTGGCACAACATAAGCTTTCTTCTAATCTTTTGTAGCTTCCCCAGCATTCCAAGAGTTACTGAAAACCAATATTTATGATTCAGACAGCTTCTTGGCCACTTCTTCTAAAACTCTTGGTTGCAAGTTATCCAGACCTGCTGATTCTAAAATGTCTAATGGTAGCTGCTGTTTAACATTTCTCCTGAGTTTCTTCTTCATCATCATCCTTATCCTCATGTGATATGACTACATCATCTGACTTTGTCCCAAATATGGAATAAAAAAATTAGTGAACACTTCTATTTTTTTCTGCATTGCTACTGATAATTCTACCACTTCCGTCTAGTAAATAGACTGATACCATTTTTCAGATACTTTTTGTTTCTAGTATACATTACAAATTGCTTCAAATTGTCCTTAATTCTGCTGGCTATAGATTTCTCCTTGTATACCTTTGCTTCCCTTATCAATTTTCTACAATTCCTGATGGCTCATATATACTCATTGTTATCACATATATATATAATTTGTATAACAGCTTTCAATTCCCCTCTAAGCCAGGTTGGTTTATTTTTAACTAGTGCAGCCTTCTTCTTTCAACCTCCTGATAATAAAGCAGGAGGTGGCTTAATTATTAATTATTATTAATATTCAAATTGTTATTTAATGTATATTATTGTAGCACCCAAAGGCCCATTCAGGTCACAGATACAGACACACTCCAAGATCCAGAAAGCTGACAATTTAAAACACTCAAGAACAGATGCAGGATTGGATATGGGAGAAATAACATACAAGCAAATTCACATGGTGATGATTGGTGAGTAGTATAAGGAACCTACCATCAATCAATGTTATCCCTGCCCCTTGACCCCTTAGGCCCTACCCACCTGTCACAGGAAATGCCGCCCTGGGGGTATTACTTCTGGGGTCAACCCGGACACATGACCAGAAGTAAGGTGTGTCATGTGACCCCTCTAAGAACTTCTCCCACCACCCTCTCCCAATCAGGATGGGTTTTGCCCCCGTAGGACTGCCCTGAGAGGAGATTTGACCAACGGGCAGGAGTTCTGGGGCGGGGCAACCCATCCAGAAGTGGGTCATGTGACCCCTATAACAACTTCTTCACCATCCTCTACCAATCAGGATGGGTTTCAGCCACTGGGGACCACACCTGAGAGCAGATTTGACCAAAATAGGGCAGGTTTTGGGATGGGATGAACCGCCCAGAAGAGGGTTGTGTGACCCCTCTAAGAACTCCTTCCACTGCCCTCTGCCAATCAGGGTGCATCACCACTACCCCATAAGTCCCAACGCTGGGCAGAAGAGGCCATCTCTTACCAAGAACACGTGTTTTAGAAATCATGGAAATGCTGAGAGGTAATATGGACTCCTTCACCACCCCCGTGAGAACTTCGGACTTTGTTTTAGTTCCGAGCACCTTTGGACTTGTGTGGAGAAAGCACTACATCTGCAACAGTTCCAATCAGGGCCATTGATGGATACGCCGGAACCCAACTCTGAACCCAACTGCTTGTGAGGCAGACCGACGAGCGTGACGGCCTCTGCTTGTCCACCTCTATCTAGGAAGGCGACCATGGCTTGGGGCAGTCATCGGTGGACAAGCTGAATGGAAAAGACATTGCTCAGGTAAATGAACAATTAAGAAGTAACGTTAGAGGATTTGTGTGTGTGTGTGTGTGTGTGTGTGTAGTAAGTAGGGTT